AATTAGAATAGTTATAGACATATACAATATCACTATGTGTACATGCATTATAACGAACATTTGAGGTTCTGAAAATGAATGACTTTCTAAAATCTTCAGTTCCTGTAGGTTATGTGTAAATTCATTTAAATCTTTTATGATTTGTACATTTATAATATTCTGAGGTTTAAAGGAATTTAACAGATTCTTGAGAGACTTTTTAATACTAAATTTAGGATTTTCTGGAATTAAATCAGTATGAATATTTGCTCTTAGGTAATTGGAGGATGTTAACAATATCTTGTCAGTATGTATGTTACAAGTTGTGGAAATAGTCAATCGGCCTACTCCAGAAATCTCAATACTAAATGCTCTGGCTGGATTTTCACAAAAAATTGTTATAGTCTCAGACTGCGTATAAAATATCCAAGAGTTTGAACGTGGAAGTCGATTCCAAACACATGCGTTTGTCGATTCTAATTTGATTTCACAATTATCTGGGAGATTCTGGGGTTTTGATAAAAGCATTACCTCGCATAAATCGGTTTTGGATTTATGATGAGTAGGTTGACTATTTTTACAAAGTGTAAATGATTGTAATTCCTTACACATCTCCCATTGTTTGTTGATCACAGAGAAAAATTTTTCTGTATCATAACTTATTGCTAAAACTTCCATGTTGGATTCAATGAGGATAAGGTTTTGACACTATAGTATGTGACAGGTAAAGGTATTACATTATATGCATTAAAAACAATGGTCTGTGCTAATGGAATTTTGACTACAAAAATAAAGTATTTATCGTTATGAACAATGGTTATTTCCGAATTTTTTATAAAATCAGAGATAGATTCTGCCGATATCTCAAGTGGAAGAGTTGTTCCTACTGGGATGATCGCTTTAATTTCACGAAGTTCGGTTAACCAACGTTGAGTGTGTAAAATGCTGGAGTGAACTTTCTCTTGTAGAGCGGAGTCTACGATCGCTAAAAGGTTCTGGGTTTCATAAGCGTATTGATTTAGTAATACTTCAAAGAAAAGGGTTTGTTCTAATAGCATCGTTCTGATCTTTAATTGATCAATGTTTTGTGAATTAAGCTTGGCTTGTTCACCTAGTGACTGTATGTTCTGTTCAAGCTTCTGTTAATTTGTTAATATCTGATTTAAAGTGTTGTTAGTTTCATTAATCATTGTTTTTACGATTCGGGTTTGCTCAGGTATCACATCGATATTATCTAGTCGACTTTTTGCTAGCTGAGTTATTTTGTTTAAAATATATATAAAGTCAATGTTGTCAACACTACCAAAGAGTACGTTTGCCAGGCGACTAACAGCGTTACTAAGCCCACGACGATTCCTGTTTTTAATCCGATCGTTACTTCCTATAGTTGATAAAATATTCTGATGGTTTTGGTCAATTTCGTGTAGATGTGGAATAGTTGCCTGCGCGAACTGTTGACAACTGTACGTAGATTCCGGATTGTTGATTTTTTTTCTTAATTCATCACAGAGTTGAGACGTTTCGTTGTACAATTTAGATAGAGTTAAATATTTCGTTGTATAATCGCTCATATCGAGATAATTTATCAACTTCCAGTCAGAATTTGTGACTTTCACTTTATCTAGGAATTTGTAATAGAGTCCTTCTGTGTTGTTGAAATATGTTATCTTGACTAAATCTGTGGGTGGAAGATTCTGAAATTCCGTATTCCTTATTTGTAGGAATATTGAAATGATAAGCAAACATTTCATGATTGTCGTCATTCTGTAGTTTTTTGGGTGTCTGGAAAATAGTTATTTATAGATTAGTATTATTCATAAAATGGTTTTAAAAGGTTCGGGTGAATCTTTTGCCTTTTTCCTCTTCTTTTTATTGTTACATTCTTATTGTTAAGATCAATTTCCAGTACTTCAAAAGGGCCTAACCATTTAGGGCATAATTTATTGTGTGAGGTTTTGTCCTGTAGTAGTACTTTCTGTCCTACCTCAAAGGTTCTGTGGTTAGCATTTTTATCATATCGCTCTTTGGACTTATGTTTAGCTTCTAATAAATTTTCTCTAGCAATTGCGTGTGACTCTTGCAACTGTTTCTTAATTTCGAAATGATAGTCCTCATAATTATATTGAGGTTCAGGGTTTTTCGTTAGAGATGAAGGAATGCTAAATGGATTTCCATAAACTAATTGATATGGTTGGAATTTAGTTGCCGAATGTATCGTCGAATTATGACAAAACATTGCATATGGGATTTTCGTGTCCCAATTCAAAGGATCCTTCTCGGTAAAATTCCTTAAATACTCTCCAAGAGTACGGTGGCTTCTTTATAGGGAGCCATTGCTCTGGGGGTGGTACGGGGTGGTTGAGGTCTGTTTAATTTTTAGGAGTTGGCATACCTCCCTAAAAACTTTGCTAAGAAATTCCGTACCACAATCGGTTACAAGGCTCTTGGGTAGTCCATGCAGACATACAAACTGTGTCACGAAATGATGTGCCACTGTGTTTGCTTCATGATTGACCATAGGAGCTGACCATGCAAATTTAGTAAGGTTATCTTGTAGTGTTAGAATGGACGAATTCCCGTTGTTCGAACGTGGTAAGGGTCCTACGACATCGAGGAATACCTTTTCGAATGCTCTGGAAGCTGTGGTGGTAATTACCATAGGCTCTTTTGGTATTCTGGTAGCCGTTTTATTCTTCTGGCACGTCGGACACTTTTTTATAAATTGCTTAATTTGTTTCCTCATCCCTTTCCAATTGTGTTCAGCATATAATCTATTGAAAGTTCGAGTTACTCCTTGATGACCTCCAAGTGGATTGTTATGGAATTCGGATATCAAACGAAGTTTCTCATCTTCTGTTATCTCATTTTTACAGTATACACTTATATAAGTTGAAGAGTTCCTGAAAATGCAACGAAACATTCTGCGGACAGTTTCCCATTGGAGTCCATCTAAACTACATCCTATTCTGGGACAGGCTACTTTAGTGATTTGATTTTCTTCACAGAGTGTTTTAAGTTTTTGTAAACAATTGAAAATGGATTGATAAGTAAGTTTCTGCCAACATTTCGACTTTGTAATTAGATGAAAAATGGTTCGTCCCTCGTAAGAAGATAACCAGTCAGTGACCGATTTTCTTTCTTGACAAAACTTTGGTATTTGCCAAATCTTCGCCTAAATTGGAGGGCAATGCCTCTAGACATTTTTAGGTCTGAAGAAACGCAATGAGCAAACGCAGTATCTAATGGTGTATCAAAAATATCACCTACTATTTCGGTTACGTTGGATGTGGGTGAATTATCTGTACTTAGTAAATTTTGCAAAAATTCTGAATTCTCTGTTGATTCTGGAATGTCTAAATGTTCCGGAGTATCTGAAGATTCAGGAGGTTCCGAAGATTCTGGAGGTTCTATAGATTCTGAAGTGTCTGTAGATGTTGAAGGTTTTGTAAACGTTGAAAGTTTGGACGATCTGATCACGACTTGATTGATTCTGCTCAATGCGTCTGCATTCGTATTATTGACTCCGGGTTTGAAGTGGATCTCGTACTCGTATTCAGCAAGTTTCAGTATCCAACGAGTCAATCTAGATCCTGGGTCTTTTATGTTGAATAACTAATTAAATGCTCGATGATCTATTACTATATTAAATTTCTGGCCGAATAAGTAAGTACGGGATTGCTTTACCCCCCATACTATCGCACATAGCTCTTTTTCGGTCGTATTATATTTTAATTCAGCACGGTTAAGAGTCCGCGATGCGTACGCTATCGGAAGATCTGTGCCAATGGGGCCTTGTGAAAGGACGCAGCCAATGGCATAATTGCTAGCGTCACATGTTAGATTAAATTTTCTGGTAAAATCTGGGTATTGTAATAAGGGTTCAGTCGTCAGGATTTTCTTTAACTTGTCAAAAGCTTCTTGACAAAGGTCTGTCGAATTAAAATTAACGTTTTTTTTTTTCAACAGCGACGTTAATGGTTTTGCTAATTGTCCATATCCTGGCACAAAACGTCTTTAATACCCCGATAGGCCTAGAAAAGATTTAACTTGCTTTTCGTTGGTCGGAGTTGGAAATTCTACTACACATTTAACTTTCTGTGGGTCTGGTTTCACACCTTGATCGGTTATAACATGGCCCAAATAATTTACTTCCTTGCGCATAAAAGCACATTTTGAAGGTTGCAGCTTTAAATTGAATGTCCTTAAACGATCGAATACCGCTTTTAATTTTTTGGATTGATCTGCTATACTGAATGCGTAAATAATAATATCATCTAAATAAACGAATGCTTTCATTCCCGTTAGTCCTGCTAGGACAGTATTCATTAAACGCTGAAAAGTGTCAGGTGCGCCTTTTAGACCAAAAGGAACACGAAGAAACTCAAAGTGTCCCCTGTCTGTAGAGAATGCTGTCTTTGCAGTATGTGCTGGATGCATTCGGACTTGATGGTACCCTTGTGCCAAATCTAACGTGGTATAGTATTTCGACTTACCAAGTTGGTCCAAAATATCTGTTATATTAGGCAGGGGGTAGGGGAGAGTGGGGTAAGTTGTTACAGGGGCAAGTTGTTACATTGGGGATATTTTGCACTTTAAATTATGGTAGCACTGTGTCGTTCAGATCATTTTGTAAAACAAATTAACGAAAAAAATATTTCGTGATGACAACGGTTGTATTTTATCAATATCAAAATATATTTATGATTTTATGTTTTTACATATCAGTAATACATTTTTGTTGACAATTTCATTTTTTTTTTTCGGATCAAGGACTCAAGGTAAGACATTTTTGTTACGATGTATATATTCATTAGGTAATACTATTTCATTTTTTATTCACAAATTACAAAATTAACCATTTACTTTCATGTGATAACATTTCATATGAAATATTTCTGTATGGGGCAAGTTGTTACAGTTGATAAGGGGAAAGTTGTTATAGTGTATCAACTTACCCCACTACAAAAAAAAATTGAATTTGTATGTACAACTTATTAAATTATTATAACTATCTTATATAGATGGTCAGAAACTATGTAAAAAAAACAAACCGTGGTACAGTACCTGAAGATATTTATAAAAAGGCTGCTAATGAAGTGTTAACAAAAGAAAGTTCACTAAGAAATGCTGCAGAAAAATATGAAATAAACTTTATGACTCTTCAAAGATATATAAAGAAACAATCAAATTTACCACTAAAACCAAACCAAATCTTTTCAGATGAGTTAGAATCTATTTTATCTAATTACTTGGTACATTGTAGCAGAATTTATTATGGTCTTACACCTTCAGATGTTAAAGTATTGGCATATGAATATGCAAAATCAAATAATGTTGCATATCCCAAAGGGTGGGATGTACACAAAATAGCCTCTAAAGACTGGTTTACTAGTTTTTTAAAAAGAAATCCTACCTTATCATTACGCTTACCTGAAGCAACTAGTCTTGGCAGAATCACCAGCTTTAATAGACACAATGTTGCTATTTTTTTTGATAACCTACATAGTCTGTATGTGAAGCATAATTTTGAGGGGCATAGAGTATGGAATGTTGACGAAACAGGTGTCACAACAGTGCAAAAACCAAAAAAAATTGTTGCAGAAAAGGGGAAGAAACAAGTTGGAAGGTCTACTTCTGGTGAAAGAGGAACAACTGTAACAATGGTGTTTGCAGTCAATGCAATAGGTAATTCTTTGCCACCTATGTTCATATTTCCAAGAGTTAATTTTAAACAGCATTTTGTAAGTAACGGACCTAGTGGTTGCATTGGAGCAAGCCACCCTAGTGGATGGGTCACTGCATCTTCTTTTTTAATGTTTGTTCAGCATTTTCATAAACATATTAATTGTAGTCCGTCATCTCCAGTCCTACTCATTTTAGACAATCATATTTCTCATTTGTCTATTACAGTTATTGATTTTTGTAAGGAAAATGGTATTGTATTGCTATCTTTTCCACCACACACTACAAATCACTTACAACCATTAGATGTGTCAGTATATGGCCCCTTTAAAACGTTTTATAATAATTCAGCTAGTGGGTGGATGGACACACATCCTGGTATCCCAATATCCATCTATGATATACCGTCATTAGTGAAAGAATCTCCCATTAGCAGCAACTCCAAAAAATATAACATCTGGATTTACTAAAACTGGCATATGGCCATTTAATAGGAATGTGTTCACGGATGAAGATTATTTGTGCTCTGAAGTTACTGATAGACCATTTACTGCTGATTAAATATAAATGATACTGTTGCTTTTGAATTATCAACAATTAGTCAACCACAGTCAACCACTACAGATAATAATATTGATCATACTTTAATTCAACATCTGACTCCTAATACACCACAATGTGTACAACCATCTACTAGTGGTCATACTATAGTAACCCCTGAAGACATAAGACCTCTACCAAAAGCAGGTGAAAGAAGAAACAATCGTACAAGAGAGAAAATGAAGTCTACAATTTTAACAGATACACCTGAAAAGGAAAAGTTGAGACTAGAACAAGAGGCTCGTGATGATAAAAATAAGCAAAAAGACCTTAGATCTAAACGTAAATTAGATTTTAAGAAAACTAAAACCTATGAAAAATCTAGTCAAAAGCCAAAAGCTAAAAAACATAAGTCCAACATAGTAGACTCAGACTCAGAAGAAGATGATGATTATTTCTGTATAATCTGTCTTGGTGCATATTCTAAAAGCCGCAAAGGAGAAGACTGGGTTGAATGTTGTTCTTGTAAGAAGTGGGCTCATGATAAATGCGCTGGAGTAGGTGGGTTATTGTTCTACAACTGCAAAAACTGTTCTGATATTGATGAAGATTTTGAAGGTACTGAATAGTATAAGTCTATTATGTAATGTTTAAGATTGTTAAATAAATAAAACATAATACTGTTAATGTGTATACAAAAAGGTTTAAAAAGTTATTTTTTTGTTAGTTATATAATATTGTGTAAAATAATATTTTGTTTTTTGATTTAATATTTTGTATTAATTTTTATTGTAATACAAAAGACTGTTTTAACTATACCTTGCAATAAAAAATACTTAAAATTTGTGTAAGACTGTTAAATAAATAAAATATGGGACTGTTAATTTTTATTTAAAAGGTTTAAAAGTTATTTTTTGTTATAAAATTGTATAATAAAATATTTATTAATTATTACTTTTAATATGTTTAACTAATTTTTAATTGTTATACATAAGCCTGTTCTTATTAAAATAAACTGCAATAAAAAAAGTGCTAAATATTTGTTATTTTTTGGAATAATATATCACATAATAACAAAAAATGTATAATGTAACAACTTGCCCCTGGCCTGTAACAATTTACCCCACCCAGGGGCAAGTTGTTACAGTTTGACAAGGTGACTTAAGCATATTTATTTAAGTACTAAAAATTGACTTTTTCTGACTTTTTTTACACAGAAAGATACCTAAGAAGTTACTTAATAAAATGGTATAACATAAATTATGATAGGTGATGAAAGAAAAAATATTAAAATTATATATGTTGAAATTGTAACAACTTACCCCGCTCTCCCCTAAGCATCTCCGACTGATTAAGTTTCCTAAAATCTACGCAAACCCTGTATTTTACGACACCATCTTTATCCATTTTCTTCGGTACCACCAGTAAAGGTGCATTCCACGGACTTCGACTAGGTGCTATTATTTTATCTTCTTCAAGCTGTTTTATTTGTCTGTCGATCTCTTCTTTGTGACGGAAAGGCAGACGGTACGGCCTTGATAGGTTGTGTAGAGCTGGAGTGATCACCTCATGAAAAACAGCATCTGTTTAAGTCAGTTGATCACCTTCTAAATGGAAGATATCTGAATACTGCTCACATGTTGATAAGAGTGAATCTCGCTCCTCTATATTCAAATGTCCCGTATCTAGGGCATCTCAGAGGGTCAGCAGTCTTCCACTGGTTTTCTCCGTTTTAGTTCCTTGATTTGTTTCTCTGTAAGCTGAACGGGATGTTCAGTTGGATTGACTGCGGCTAGTAAAATCTGTTTTTGACGAACTTGGTTTACTGTATTGCTGCATAAAATTGATTCGTCCAAGGTCTGTGCTGGTATTATTAAAGTTTCTTCCTCCTATAGATGAGGTGTGGGAACTCTAATTATCGTTTCACTACGAGGTTGTAGTGTAATAAGAAAGTTTCCTGACTGTGAAGTTACTGACGAATCCCGAGTTTCTGAATCACCCACGGAGTCTAACTCCTGTAAAAGTTCTGAAGGGTTAGCTAAATTGAGTTGATTTTGATTGTCGGTCAGGATCGACCGTTTAGTTTTGTAATTCAAAATGGTTTCCAAACCAATTATAAACGGTTTTCCGAGAATACCATCGTATGGTACTGGAAACGATGACGGTGCCACATGGAACTCTGTCGTCTGCTCTTCTTGTCCCAAACAAAGAGTTAAATTGGTACTTCCTAATGAATGCAAGGTATGGCCGGTGATCCCCAAAAGGTTTTGTTCTGTCGGCTCGTTAACGAGTATTTCATCTTTTAACGAAAACACTTTTATGAAGTTCACATCGGCGCCTGAATCGACTATTAATTTAATGGTTAGTGTAATTGTCTGGAAACACTTGCAATGTAAGTGGTCATAGTGAAGGTTCTGATTGTTTTGGTTTAAGGCATTTAGGAAGATGGTGGAAATATTATTACTGCAGTTTTTAAACTGCCCGCCGACCGCCCGCCGTTGGAAGTCGAGGGTTTTTCGTTTCCCGATTGCTGGTTATTACTCCCAGACAAACTAGGATTGTTTCTTTTTTTCTAGAACGTATTTTAGTTTCCTACATTCTTCCTTTGTGTGTCCTGGCTTACGGCAGTAACTACAAGTAATCAACCGTACATAATTTGGTTTCGACGAACCTGTTGGATTTGCTTTGGGCTCCTTATCTTTTGCTCTGCAATCTATTGCCCAATGTCCTGACTTGCTACAATTGAAACATACTTTGGCTTTTGCTCCTTCTAATTTTCTTGATGAGCTATAAAGTTTCTTGGATTCTTCTGCCGATTTTATGACTCACTCCTCTTCTCTGGAAGCCTATAAAATAGCTTTTTCCAAAGTTGTGGGATTCCTAGCTTTAATGAAATCTTTCAAAGACCCTAATGAACAACTGTACCACTTGTTGCTTGAAGCTTGCTTCTAATGCCTTTGCTATCTCTACAGACTTGCCATTAGTTTCTTGTTCCACTATAAGGTTCTGTAATTTCTCTATCCGAGAAGAATATGTTAAAACGTCTTTTCCTGATTTTTGTTTTGTGGAGTATAACTCCAAAAACAAATGCGTAGTGGTACGTTGGGGTTCCTATGCAGACTTTAAAGTGTCACGGAGTGCAGCCCACGTATCGAAGGTTCTGAATTTAATTGCCTGCCGAGCTTTCCCGGTGAGTCGTACTGAAATTCCCTGAAGGAGACGGGTTTGTACCTGTCTACTTGTGCATGACAGTGCGAATTCACATTTTTCCAGAAAGATTTCCATTTTTTCCTGATTTTCTCCATTAAACGAGTTTGGGAGTAACCGTAGTGCTGCTTCCAAACTAATAGTGTCCGATCCCAAACTGTTGTCTTCCGAAATGCTCTGGGGTGCATCTGGAAGGTTTTTTTCTGCCGACGCTACGTCGATCAACGGTGATCGTCCGTCTTCTTCACTCATGTTTTCGTTAATAGTTTGATAGAGAATGTTCTGCGTTCTTCCAACGAATTGGTCTACTTCTTCTAATGTGGTAGAAACGTTTCGTATTAAGTCTGTGGTAGCTTTATTTGGAGAATATAATGACACCACGTTAATTGTGTGTGGAACAATGTAAACACTATATGTAGGTTAGTAGTACGGCGGCGTCGTGTTTATTATGTTGACGTCGGCTCCGGCGTTGATTACGAATCGTTCACGGTCAAGGTCGTATACGACAGCGTGCGTTAATACGACGAATTTGTTTTGTCACTTAATCACAATGTAGCGTTAGTGTCGCCACGATTGGTTCACACTTTAAATTTACGGCACTAGATGTCGTCGCATTCTCGAGGACCGGTGCTGTCTACGGCGGCTTCGAACTGGGCGTTGGCCGATGACGTAATTGAAATGTTCGGGCGGCCAACAAACCACTGCGCGTGTGTGTGACGAAAAAATACGAGTGACGCTTCCTGCTACGAGTATATCGCTCTTGGAAATTTGCTGAGCACACTATTCGTGCGTCGCGTCGTTGCGTTGTCGCGTCGTATTCAATGTATACGGTATACGATATAATAATATAAAATGTTATATTACCGTATATAACGCTCGGATAAATGTTCTGTTTTAATGGTCTGCTTCCTTTTTGACAAATATTTCTTTTTGAAAGTCTCTGTTCGTTGAATGTCTGTAGTAACGAGATACCGGTATTTGGCGTATCCCACCGCTGTCACCAAAAATGTTACGGACTATCGAGTGATAATGCCGTGCACAAATAAACAAACACTCTCGAACTAGTTTTACTTTTATATTTGTACTTGAAAAGAAACTTACATTAAATAAAATACATTAAATGTTCTGAAGGCTCTGTTATATTAATGCTCTGCACCAAAACTACGACTGACTGCTACGTGTGTAAGCCCTTGTGTACGAGCTGGTCGTCCGGTCGAAAGGGTTTATTCAGCAGATTCCTTAGACCAGTCGTATGGGTAGGGAGTCTCACTCGCCTTTCGTCGCACACGCATCAGTTTACAATATTTAACATATTTAAAAACACATAGTGTTTCCCAACAAATACAATATAATATAGTGGTTCTTAACACTAGCATAAATAATAATTATTATAAATTATAATTTTATTATTATTTATTTTTCTTTCAAATTATTTTTGCAGAAAATGAGTTTCTATAAGTTAAATGTAGATGATATTTCGCGGTTCTTAGATGAAATCCCAGATGACGGGGACATAAATTTAGATTTTGACGATGATTTTGAAACACTGGATGAAGATGTAATAAGCCCACTAGATTTTTATAATAATGTTGATGAAGTGCAAGATACTGTTGACATTGATTTAGATATTTGTGGTGAGTTTATTTCTTAAGTGGTTCCATACAATATTACAAATTATACAAATAAACAAAAAAATGTATTTCACATTTGTTTAGAATTTGTATATGCTGATGATGATGATGAGATTATAAATCTCAATGAAAATGATATGTTGAATAATGAAGCTTTTGTTGTTGATGAGGGAAAAATGTGTGCAAAACAAAAAATCCCAAGGGTAAAATAACCAAGAATAAAACCAAAAAATCAAAAAAATCAAATGATTTAGATAAGGAACTATTTTAGTTTTTTTTTCAAATGTAATTTTATTTAATTTTTATTTTTATTTTTATTTTTTAGATAAGTCAGTGTTCAGATGACGACCAGGTTTGGGCTCGAAAGACTGGTTTGAAAACTGTAAGACCTTAATATTTAAAACCAGAAGGAGCCATTGGATTTGATATGTGCTATACACCAACAGATGTATTGATGGTCTTCATAGAATCTATTCTAGATGACTTGGTTTATCAAATCAATTTGTATAGAACACAAAATAACAAAATATTGAGAATTCAAAGAGAAGACATGCTTGTATTTATTGGTACAAACTTTTTTATGGGGTATCACAATATTCCATCTTATAAGAACTACTGGAGCACATCACCCGATTTAGGTGTGAAGTTAATTTCAAATGCTATGCCTCGTAATACTTTTGAAAAAATACTTGTTAATTTGCACTGTAATGATAATAAATCATTGCCCCCTAATAACAAGGAAAAGTTATTTAAATTGACACTAATTATAGAAAAATTAAATGTTTTATTTAAAAATAATTTTTTTGGAACAAGAGAAATAAGTGTTGATGAAAGTATGATAAAATTCAAAGGCAGATCAAGTATCAAACAATACAACCCGATGAAACCCATCAAAAGAGGGTACAACATTTGGAGTATGGCGGATCAGAAGGGATATATGTTGGCATTTAAAGTGTATCAAGGCAAGGAAGAAAATGTAAGCTCAGAATTTGAAAATTATGGTCTTGGTGAACGTGTCGTCCTAGAACTAACCAAATCTGTGGAATGAGACCCGTGAAATCTACTTTGATAACTATTTTTCTTTTCCAATACTTTTACAAAAACTACATGTTGAAAGAATACTTGATTGTGGGACTATACACTCAAATAGAAAAGGATTGCCTAATCAAATGATTTTGGACAAAAAAATGAGTAGAGGAGACTCCGATTTTAAATATTTACCAGATGGATTGTCATTTATAAAGTGGATTGACAATAAAGCTGTGTTCACTTTATTTCCAACTTTCATGGGTCAGAAATTACAAATGTAAATCGAAAAAATAAAGATGGTTCTTCAGTTTCGGTTAAATGTCCAGCTTCAGTATCAGACTACAATAAGTATATGGGTGAGGTAGATCATGCAGACAGGTTCCGTGCTGTATACAATATAGAGCAATATAAAGTTTTAAAAACTTTAATTCAAATAATACATTTTTATAAATACAGTAAAACTTCCGTTAACGGTCTCCTCTATGTAACGGTCAATTTGTTTGGTCCCGTCGAGTGTTATAGAAAAAATACATTAATACATGTACTTCTAAATAGCGGGCACTCTAATTAACGGTCAACATTTAAAAGTTTATCAAATGGAAAATTATTATTTCGAAATTAGTTTTGACATTTTATCTTAACGAACTTAATTTATGATGTCGATAAGGCGATAACACTTGTCCATGACTGTGTATTTTGTCATTTGTGTTCAGTGTATGTTTAAAACTTTTCGAAGTACGTACCTATAATTTCAATGGTGTCCAAACGAAAACATCTAACTTTAACAGAAAGAATCAAATTGTTAGATTTTTACCAAAAAGAAAATGTGAGTGCACGTACTCTTGCAGATAAATTTGGAATAGGAAGAACTCAAGCCACCGACTTAATAAAAAACAGAGGAACGATTTTAAAATTATGGAAATCTCACGGTAATGATCAAATGAAAACTACAAAACGTCGTAAAACCGAATCAGGCAATATCAACGAAGTTATATACGAATGGTTTTGTGCAGATCGTGCTAAAAATATTCCAATCAGTGGACCAATACTTAAAGAATAGGCTTTACAAGTAAGTAAAGAATTTGAATGTGAAAATTTTAAAGCGTCAAATGGTTGGCTTGATAAATTTAAACCACGCTACAATATATCTTTTAAAGTGGTTTGTGGCGAAAGTAAATCGGTTGATACGGAAACAGTGGACGAATGGCGTATAAAAGTCAAACAATTAATTTCTTCATATGAGCCACGAAATATTTACAATGCAGATGAAACAGGATTATTTTGTAAAATTCTTCCTAATAAAACATTAAGTTTTAAAAATGAAATTTGTACTTCTGGGAAAAAGTCTAAAGAGAGATTGACGGTCATGTTATGCGTTAATTTAATTGGTGAATTTGAAAAGCCACTAATCATAGGTAAATCTAAGAAATCTCGTTGCTTTATGAATGTGGACATAAAACGCTTAGACCTACACTGGGAGTCAAATAAAAAATCATGGATGACACGATGTATAATGACTGAGTGGTTAATGTGGTTTGATGAAAAAATGAAAAAACAAAAACGTAAAATTATTTTGTTTTTAGATAATGCAACATCACATCCTGATTTAAAACTACAAAACATTAACTTAGTATTTTTACCACCAAATACGACGTCACACAGTCAGCCTCTAGATCAAGGTATAATCCAAAATTTTAAAATTATTTACCGACAAATGATACTTAGGCGAATATTATCACAGATAGATGTAGTAAAAGATGCTGATGAACTTGCAAAAAGCATTACTGTATTAGACGCTTTGATGTGGATTAAACAGTCTGTAAAGCAAATAACTGGTAGTTATGTTACTAAATGTTTTAAAAAATCAGGTTTTATTTTGGAAAATTTGTCTGTAGATTTAGATAACACAGATCTTGAAAACGAAATAATTGTTGGTGAACAATTAGTTAATATGGTGCCAACTCATATGCAAGGTGAAGAGTTTTTTTTGGTCGACAAAAATCTAAGAACTAAAGAAGATAGTACTGATATTAAGTCATTCATAATAACAGATAATGACGAAGAGGAAACACATGAAGAAACTGAAAAAACTGAAGAACCCGAGTACACTGTATCAAACTATTCTGAGGTTTTAACTCAAATAAAACAATTATCAACTTTCACTCTTCAAAAAGGTGACGTAGATGGTTATGACATGTTAAAAACCGCAGAAATTTATTTTGAAAAAAAGTGTTCAAATAATCAAATGAATCTAAAACAAACTAATATAACTCAATATTTTTATTTTTAATATGTAATAAAAGCTTATGAGATTTTTTTTTAATTTTAAACTGTACCTACATTATTTCGTAAATCATAAATACAATTTTTAATACCCATATTCATATGCGTTATTTTAATATTGGTGTTTTATTTTTAAAATTTGTGTGACCTCTATATAGCGGTCACCTGGAAGGTCTGTTAACAGTCACCTCTGTAGGACGGGCACCTCTAAATAGCGGTCATTATTTACAGTCCCTTCAGTGACCACTATATGGAAGTTCTACTGTATATACGTAATCAACTATCATGTATGATATAATACCCAAACTATCATTTTGTGGTGTATGGATACTTCACTTTCATAGCAATAACTATCAAGCGTTGTTATGATAATCACTATTGCGTTAAACTATCATCGTGTAAGGCTGAATGCACACTTGCGTTAATTAACGTGCGGCGCCACTGCGACACCGCTGCGTGGCCGCAGAAACTCATGCACATGTCTGTTGTTTTAACGTGCGGTACCGTTGCGAGGCTGTATACAAACGTGGTGACCAAGGTACGTAACAATGTCATCAGTCGTATTTGTCTTTTTGTTGGCGATAGATGTCTATCAAAAAAAACGTGCGATTTTGGCGTACATTGTATACAAAAAATTTGTTTAAAAAAAAAAAGAGACGTTACTGGGTACATCCTTACATCGATGATAGACTAGCTAGAGGTGGCTTTATTACATTTTTTTCGAGTTTACGAGAAAATCCAGATAAGTTAATTAACTACTTTCGTATGAGTGTTCAATCGTTTGATGAACTTGCAGACAAAATAACTGACATGATTAAGTCTCAAGATACATGTATGAGACTCTGCATAACTCCATTGGAAATGCTAGCTGTGACTTTAAGGTAAGTGCATTTTATACAGCATATCATTCTACTGTTTTGAAAATTAATTACCTGAACAATTGAATAATAATTCTATGATTGTAATAAATATTCAATTTTAACTCGAAAAAAATTATTATTTATTAAAATTTAACAGGTACAAATAATAATACAAAATTTTAATGATGTAAGTTATTTTATGTTATCTGTATATATAAAACAGTAAGCTGTTTGACTGCTATCAACGCACAGCTCAAACCATTGGATGGATCTGGCTGAAATTTGGCATACAGATAGCTATTATGATGTAGACGTGCGCTAAGAAAGGATTTTTCGAAATTTTGAATTTAAAGGGTTAAAATCGGTTTAATATTTTTTTACCCGGTCGATAACTGCGCTATTGAAAATGAATTATATTAAATAAAACTATTAAAAAATTATTAAAAAACTATTAAAAACTATTTAAAAACTATTAATTTTATTTTTGGTAGTAAATGACGGGTATTGCATAAATATTAAACAAAAAGATCTCGCAACAGTTGCCGCAGCGGCACCGCACGTTAAAAATACGCAAGTGTGCATCTGCCTAAATCCGGCTTTACAGCTGCGCTTGTTTATCTACGTCGGCAACGGCGGTAACGCACGTATCTATTTCGTTTCCGGCGATAGCGGCGGCGGCTTGTTTACGAGCGGATTACTGCAGCTAATTCCACGCTCCGCACGCGCAGGCGCGCATTATTATTACTATCAACATATCTTATCAATTATTAATACGAGTGATAAGCAAATTGTTGTTTATTAGAAAGGTACATAGGTGCAAAATGTGTTAGGTACTATAATAAAAATAATAATATAATAAATGTATAATATAATAATAATATTTATAATAAATAAATATATAATATAAATATATGTCCCGATACAAATAATATATGAAATTATTATATATAAGTCAATAATCAATCGTCAATGGTTAAAATAGTATTCCCAATATAAAATTCACAGTCACAACTCACAAATGTTTACAGAACACAATACAAATAAAACATAATATATGCATTATATCCATATATAAACATTCTTTTAAAAGAACCATTAACATAATATCATGACAAATTAAATTTGATTTGTCATGCATAATATTATGTTGTTTCAAATTATGATATAAAACAAAATAATATTGTTAATGTTTGAAAATTATTAATTTTAAATTATTAAATAACCCCTTATTTATTAGAATTAAACTCAGTTTCAGATTATTCTTAGTTATTATATATTTGTTATTATATTTTATAATGTATTTTATGATTATTCAATTTTTATTCAACGTTTTTAGTAATATGTACATTTTCTATTTGTCCATATTATTTATTTTCTCTCTTTGTGATTTTTCAAATATTATTAGTTATAACCATACTCAAACATTATATTTATTAGAAAAGGTACATGGGTGCAAAATGTGTTACTGTCAATGCACATCTTGTCATATTAGTTACATAATATATAATACAATATATACTATTTTAGTTCTTAGTTTTAGTTCTTTAGTATTATACAATAACCCATTTAAATATTAAGTCATACATTATAATTTTACTGCATAAATTTACGTTGTACGGAGCATTTACCGAATATATAATTTTTTTAACACATAAATACTTCATATATACAATCTTGAAACTAAATTTTTTTTGTACTTCTCTATAGCAGAAAACTCTTTACAACAAAAAAAATGTTTGGTCCCAAACAATTCTGTTAAAGAGAGGTTTTACTGTTGTTGTGGGCTATCACATATTCCTAGAAACATGTATAAATAGAATTGTGCGTAACACAATATCACAGGTATTGCACACCTATATTTGATTAAGTTAAACTAGTAATATATATTAATAAGTGAGAAAATGTATTTTCGCACACATATGTTAATACAAAAGGGATTAGAAACTGTAAAGCTTGTGTGGACAATGCCGAGTATTCTTGTTTCACGTCCAGCCAAAAATTAGTGATATTTTTGGTTTTGAAAGCGGTTTTTAGGGTGGAGTCACTGGTTAAGTCAATAAATAATTATTTTGCCAAAATACCATCTGGAATGTTTTTAATATAATCATCTTCGAAAGGGTTTATGATCCATTTCATTTCTGAGTTATCCTCTGGAAAATATTGTAAAATATTGGATTTTAGTAAACCTGGTGAGGACTTTTCCTCATGAAAGTCACCTTACCTCTGTGTGGAGAAGAAGGTATTTATGAGTACTGCCCATTTCGTTACATAATACTGTGAATAGTCTTGAATTGGGAGGTCTGGCTTTGATTAGATTTACGATTTTTATAGCACTATCAAGAACTAATTTTAAACTTCTAGGCATGTTTTTAGATGCTAATGCTTGCCGGTGAATCATACAATGCATAGTTTTACATAATGGGGCAAATTTTTTATTCTTGTTGCAACTCCGCTCAGCCTTCCAGTCATTGCCCTTGCTCCATCAAAACAAAAACCCACACATTTACTCCACGGCAGATTTATTTCAATCAAATATTCATTAATGGTTGTAAAAATAATTTCAGATGTTGTGTGGGTTTGTAAAGGCTTGCAAAACACAAACTTTTCAATAATTTCATCATTGCGATCAAAACGTATAAATACCATTAATTGAGCCATGTTAGCAATATCAGTACTCTAATAAATTTGTAGAGCAAAGAAATTACAATCTTTCAAATAAAGCAATAATTTATTTTTTATATTTGACGACATGTCATCAATTCTTCTTTTGTCAGTATCGTTTGAAAGTGACACTTTTTCTATCACTTTTGCAGCCTTGTCTCCAAGAACACATCTCACGATTTCTTTAGCTGCTGGCAATATTAGTGTTTCCCCAATTGTGTGTGGTTTTCCATCTTTAGCAATAATTAAACTCGCTAAATAAGATGCTTTAACGATATTTTCATTAAAGTTCGTAAAACTAGACATGCATTTCGATTCCTTTTGGAAAGTAGTAACTTTTCTTTGAAAAAATTCAATAGGTTTATTTTCTGTTTCTGGAAGCTTCGATAATTGGTGGCGCTTAAGTAGCGATGGCTTCATGCTTTGATTTGAAAGTGTTTCTTAACAAATTACACATTGAGGTAACGGAGTAGAATTTTCAGAACCTAATTTACAACGAATCCAAATTGTAAGTAACTATCGTCATATTTGCGATTCGCCTGTGTTTTCTGTTTTTTAGTATTTAAGCTTTAACTTTCTAAAAATCTTTTAATTTTACTTAATTTTATATCAAAAAAATGTACGAAAAAACTACATAAAAATATAAAATACACTTGAACAACGCGTATGACACTCGTGAATAAACCGAAGGAACTCACAAAACTAAGGTAAAAACCCATTATTGTGAAATAAGAATACGCCTTCTCGGGCTTATCCGATAAAGTTTATCGATTTATATGATATTAAAGAGAATATTGTTATCTTAATTGCTACGATTACACACGACCTCCACACCATCAAATAAATATTAATTAAATCAAATAATATTTAAAGTTAATAATAATTCGTACCAATTTTTTTATAAAGGAAAATTACCACAGGTTGGCGTACCACAGGTTGAGAACCCCTGGATTAAACGATTACTGGAAAAAACATAATTTATTTAATTTTACATGTTTTTCAAATTATATGAGTCGTGATCGCTTTCTATTACTTTTGAGATGTTTTCATTTTTCCCAGAATCCTACTGACCAATTTGAAAATATTCCTACTGATAGACTTTTCAAAATTCGCCCTCTTATAAATTATTTTAATACCAAAATGAATAATATTTATTACCCAAATAAAGAGCTTTCACTCGATGAATCAATGGTATTGTGGAGAGGTCGCCTTATTTTTCGACAATATATACAAAATTAACGCCATAAATATGGTGTTAAATTGTACATGCTTACTGAACCAAATGGCCTTATTATAAAATTTGCTGTATATACTGATATTTTAGATGATCTAGGAGGTAAGGGTTATGCTGCAAACGTAATACTACATATTATATCCGAAAAATTGAATAATGGTCATTCAATCTACATGGACAATTTTTATAATTGCATTGATTTAGCTGAATAATTATTACAAAAAAGACATATTGTACGGGCACATTAAGATCTAACCGAAAACGTATTCCTGAGACCGTAGTAAAATCGAAATTAAAACCTGGGGAAACAAAAACAATGTACTCTAATGGCATATTGGTTGGTAAATGGAAGGACAAACGGGATGTTATGTATATTTCTACCAAATTCAAAAATAATTTGATACTTGCAAAAAATAAAAAAGGTCACGAAAAACTAAAACCAGAACCGTTTGCAAATTATAATAAATTTGTGAGTGGTATTGATTGGCAGGACCAAATGAACAGTTACTATCCATTTTTGAGAAAAACCATTCGTTGGTACAAGAAGATAGGAATACATGTGATCCAAATGCTATTATTAAATTCTTATAATTTGTACAATCAATCACAAGTTGGATCTAAGATGAAACTCTATGATTTTCATTTGTCTATTCTTAGTGAACTTTTACCAGCAATTCCAAAACCAAGACTAGATGCTAAAAGAAAACACATTCCAAAAACACATCATATAGAAAAAAATGGAAGGGCACTTCGTAAAAGATGTTTTGTTTGCGCAGATAAGAAAATACGGAAAGATACTTCATATTTCTGTCCAACTTGTCCAAATCATCCAAGTATTTGTCTAGAATTATGTTTTGCAAAATTTCATTATAATATATAATTTTTTTTTTGTTTATTTAAAAATAATTATAAAAGATAAGTTTTTTTATTTGTTTCAACTTAATAATATTAATTTAAATTGTTTCTTTATTTGAATATTTGAATAAAAAAAATATATATTTATCGCTAATTGGCGTCATTCAGCATATGATGTAAAAATTATTCAATAGTGCTAACAACGCCAAATGGCGTCGTTGTAAATTTTATTTTGAAGATACGCACCGCTGTAGGTGCTACTAATATATGATACGCAGCGAACGTGTTAAAAACTAATATTGAAAAATTCTAGAATAAAATAAAGGATTCAGAAATAATTGTATTACAATTTTTTTTTAGTCACAATTCATTCAATGAAACACTAAACAATCATTTTTTTGAAAAAAAAAATTAGAAAGATTGTTTAAACTATAACTATAATTAATATGATTAAAAATATTTAAGAACTTAATCTAAAAAGGTCCAAATATTGTTATCAAATGAAGCGGTATGCTACAACGCACTGTACCAGTTATGGGTTAAACATAAAAATTCAATATTATCTAACTATATAAATTACATTATCTTAATATACAAGTATGAATTATCAAAACCAATTAATGTAACTGGATAGTTGGATACATTTGGCTGCTAATGCTGTTTCGTAACTTTTAAAAAATATAAGTACATTACAGTAGAATTGAAACTGAACATCTCAATATACTATTATTATACTACGAATAAATAGTTATATATTTTTATATGGATTTCGTAACTACTACAAAAAAAAAATTATAATGAAACTGAACATTATTCTTTAACAACTAAAATAAAATGACAATATATTATTTACATAAGACGTAATGAAATTTTGAATAGTTTGATTCATAATTCATATTATTATAATAATATTATAGTGATTCATATGATATAATGATAACATATAGCCTAACATTATGATAGTGGTGAATAAATTACGCGCATGCGCAGAATGCTTAAAATACATTCCTGTGTTTAGACCACGGATTAAGATATAATGGACTGGAAACGACGAGGTCGGCGGGGGTCAGGGGACGGCTACCAAAAGATTCCACTGATAATAACACTGGGGACCCAATGTTTTCAGCACTACCCGTGTCGCATTTGGTGCCGCATTTTAATCCGATAGAGGAATCACGTCCGTGAGAAGGATAAATAACAATTTCAAAATATTTAATTATTTATTATTAAAACATTTTTTTTAAATGAGAAATCGTAAGCGCAATGTAAAAGGATGCTCTAGTTAGGTATCCCACTTTTTCTTTTTTTAAACCACCAAAAGCCAATTATTCAGCTTGGAAATCAGCAGTAAGTAATGCTAATAATGAGGAAACAGTTTTAAAATTGGTATGTGCTGAACATTTTAGACCTGATGATATATTAAATAGCTATTTGGTATCACATGATATTTCCAATGTATTACTTTCTTATATAGGTACCTTAGGGTGGTCCTTATTTTTCGATCTCTGATTTATTCAAATAAAATCCCCCAAAGTCGTTGGATAGTGATAAAAATGAGTTTTGTGAAATTTGGGAATGACTGAAAATAATTAACCCGTGCCACAAGAGCGCCAAAGATTGATATACCTTGATTTTTCAAGAAAAAATTTTTTTTGGTTTTTTTAATCGCAGGTCCTAAAATAAATATTCGTTTTTTAATGTATACTTAACTTTATTTAAGAAAACAATATTTTCTAAAATTTATATTCTGATCTATTTTATTATAAACTTACAATTTATTAAGGTAATTATAAAAGAAAAGAAAAAAAATGTATAAACATACTTATTATGGTAAAAAGGCAAATTATCATATTTGATTTTAGAAATTTTGAGTAAATTTTATTTGACAATTAAAAAAATTTATATTAATTATTGCTTCATATCATAAAATAGATGTAATATACTAATATGTAATATAAACACTAAACAGACTAAAACAATATCATGTAAGTAACAAATGACAGTAATATTTATCATCATTGCATGCAATTTTATTTCTTCATTAGTGTTCCTTTTCTTGAGTCTGGATATGTTTTACGATAGTCGTACACAACTTGCAGTAAATATTGTTTTTGGCTTTCATCTTTTATTATTTTGTCATTATACTCTTCTATTAGTTTAACCCCTCGCTCAGTAACATCATTGACAACAGGTATATTTTTTATTATAGCTGCAGCTTTTTTGTAGTTTTCATTATTTTGCCAAGATGACGGATAAATTTTTAGGAATTCAGTATTTATTTTGAAGCGGTTAAAGAGTGTCATAGATTCTGAACATATAAAATCTTCAAGACCTTTGTTTAAAATTGAATCAACTTGGTTTTGTTTGAGAATATATTGTTTTTTGAATTCGTCTTCGAGTCCGTATTTAAAGTCGTTATCATTTTTTCTTTGTTTCCACGGAGACATCCTCGTCAAAAAATGAAAATGCTGCAGCTTCTGGAGATAAATACCATAAATGCCCACACATTTTTTTTATGGATATATCTGAAATACTCTGATCAACTGACTGATATTTTATTAAATCTTTTAAAAATGTTAAATCTTGTAGTGGCGCACATGTAGAGGAGCTTTAAACACAAACCTTTACATATAATTTAACAATAAACACGCATATACTAGCAATAGATATTTCTTCTCGTTGTTTTAAATCAAACTGTTTTCGAAATATATATATTTTTAAACAGTATATTGCTTTGGCCATCCACCGTGCATGGTGTATGGCTCCAGGTATTTTAAATGAGAGTCCTCGTGGTGGTACTCCTCCAAGAAAAATTATGGTTAACTCTAACAGTTCTCTATAATCTTCCCTAGGGAGCTTTTTATTTAAATAACTAATACAAAACTCTTTTATTTCTGTACTGACGTTGTGCAATAATTTTTAAACATATTAATTTTTGATACCAGGTTCAAAATTTGTAGTATTTACATTTGACCAAAATTCTCTAAATCGTTTAAAAATTGGAACGTCTGGACCTGATGTAGTTATACCAAATTTCACTTCAAATACACTCCTCAATACAATTTCAAAAATATGATGCCGACACGGCACGTATAAAATATTACGCTGTAGTAAATTCTCCAATAAAACAGAGGCACCTTTTATACGACCCATATTGGAGGCAGTTGTATCACAGCATAATGCTTGAATATTATCTGTAACACACCAATCTTCAAGTGTTTTAAATATTGCATTAGCCTGATCAACTCCTGTCCCGATATCAAGATATATAATAATGTTGAAACCAAAGTCACAACAAAACTAAAACCTCTTTAACACGTTCACGGCCACGTGTCACATATATGTGACATGTGTGTTTGTTCTGAGAGACCGGTGTCACATATGTGTGACACGGTCATTATGATGTTTAATAGAGAATTATTTACTCCGGTTTTTCCTAACAAATATTATTTGTGTCGTGGTTTAATTATACGTTATCTGAGGAATTGATTTATATAGTTGGTTTAAAAATTGGCCGATAGATGAAGCTGTTATTCTTTTATTGTTATTGTACGATATTTATCATATTTTGGTTTGAAATGCACTATCTTAGCACATGTTCGACTCGTAATCTATCGTTATCAAACGTAATTAATTATTATTAATTATTTTCACATAAAATATAAATTAACATAATAGAATAAATTCATAATTTTAAAAATTATATGTTAACTATGGATCCTGCCGCTATTAATGAATTATTATATGCCAGTTCAGACGATGAAAGTTTTAACGAATATGACGATAGTTCCGATGAATATTTTCCTGGTGATAACGAGGAGCCGGAAGTAAGTGATGACTCAAATGTTTCTAGTGATAGCGAAGATGATATTATAATAAGTGATGATTGGGAAACCAATAGAAATGAAGAACCTCAGTTTATTCCGTTTACTGGAAATCCAGGGTTACTGAGCCATGTGCCAGATGATGAACCATATAGTTTTTTTTAATTTATTTTTCGATAATGAACTTTTTGATAATATAGTTGTATGGGTAAATCTTAAAGCAAATTCCATAATATCTAAAGGTTTAACACCAAAATCAAATCTATCTACCTGGTATAATACTGATGTAGTTGAATTAAAAAAGTTTTTAGGTTTGACTATTTTGATGGGTTATTTAAAATTTCCGACCCTTCGCACTTATTGGTCACAGAATGAAATTGATAATCACCCTATTTTTGGTAAAACAATGAGTAGACACCGGTACGAAACTATTTTACGCTGCTTGTGTTTTTACCAACTAAATTTAGTTGACCATTCAGACCGGTTACATAAAATAAGTAATGTTACAAATCATATAATTAAAAATATTCGTACCAAGTACTATCCGAACGAAAATTTATCCTTAGACGAATCTTTGTTGTTATGGAGGGGCAGACTAAGTTTTCGTCAATATATACCAAGCAAAGCTCATAAATACGGTATAAAGTTTTATGAACTGTGTACAAAAGATGGGTTTATATTGGATATGTTGATATATAAAGGCAAAGGTACAGTTGAAGACAGTAGAGGTGTAACATTTGGAATTGTTGCTAAGCTTATGGAGCCATACTTAGGAAAAGGTCATACAGTATATATGGACAACTTTTACCTGTGTGTACCTTTAGCTCAATTTTTATTTGAAAATCAAACTATGGTTGTTGGTACATTGAGAAAAAACAGAAAAGATAATCCCAAAGATACTTTGAATGCTAAATTGAGAAAAGGTGAAGTAGCTCATGTCCAGAAAGGCAATATTCACGTAATTAAGTATAATGATAAAAGAGATGTGTGCATGATTTCCACCAAACAGAAACTGGATTTTGTAGAAGTCACAGACAGATTTGGACGGAAAAAAATGAAACCTAATATTATTGTTGATTACAATAATAATATGTCTGGTATTGACAGGGCTGATCAAATGATCAGCTACTATCCTACACCTAGAAAATGTTTACGATGGTATATAAAAGTTTTTTTTCACCTCATGGATATGTGCTTATGGAATGGAAATCTATTGTATAATACGAACGTTAAAAATATGGCTCATTTAGAATTCAGAAAATGTGTTGCAAGTTATCTTATTGGTATTTCATATAATCAACGTGTAGTTAATAATAGACCATCACAGAAAACGCATAATCTTATGAAAGTAAATATTAGAAAAAGATGTAGAGTTTGTCATCAGAATAAACTGCGAAAAAATACTGCTTTTGTTTGTGATACATGCAAGGACGATAAAGGGAACACAATCGGTTTATGTCCTGATCCTTGTTTCAAAATTTATCATTTATAATTAGACGTTACTAAAATTATTTTTAGTTTGTTTTAAAAAGTAGTTTTGTAATTATTTTTTTTTTTTGAGATTTTTTTACTATAATAGTTCTTTGGAACTAAAATCTTTAACTCATTGTTATTTTTAACCAAAATTTTGTTTTATTTTATAATTTTGTTAAACTTTGGTGATTCATTCGTGATAACTTTGTTTTTATACATTTTATTGTCATATAAATATTTAAAATTTGTTTGGTAAAAATATGTTTTTATAACTTTTGATTTTAATAACAAATGGTCTAATTTGTTAATTTTATTATTATTTTGCTTTGATTTTATTTCAAATAATGTTAACTGTTATTTATTATTTTACAAGAAGTAATTTGTTTAATTTTTTATAAATTTTGTTTATACATTGATGTTGAGTTGTTTGTATTAAGTTTAACATTTGTTAATTTTGGTGTTTTTTATAAATATAATTTTGACTTTATTTTGAGATGTACCAGCTGATGATTTCTTGACAAGTAATGATATTTGAATCATTTTATATTTGCGTTAATTCATTGGAGATGATTTTCGTATAATTTTTTTGTCTAAAAACTTATTCACCAAAAAAATACCTATTATAATATTATGCAATGGTGATTACTGATTCTTCTATAGAAAAATAATGATGTCACATATGTGTGACATCAGGTTTCTGTAAAGGATAACCACTGAAAAAACCTGATGTCACACATATGTGACATGTCTTTAATATCCGAAAATACTTTATAAATAATATTATAAAATATATTACTATGAGATACAATGAGTTCATGTTTAATTAAAAGCTATTTTATGAGATGGTTTATTTAAAGACCACTCAAATTTAAGCCTTGGTCGTGAACGTGTTAAACAATATACCAAGTATGGGTCAGTTGGTTCGAGAAATAATCCATTTTCAACTATCCAAGATAAGATAAGACAAAAATAGATATTTATTGAATTTAGTTAGGCATTGCATTTTATCTTCAACAAACCGATAAAATAAACCATAATGTACAATATTGTATTTATACTTAATACTTTCCTGTTGTATGCATGAAGTAAGTTATATTTCAATATTATAATACTTGTTATATTGATTATTAATATAGATTATAGTTAACAAAATAAACGTTCTATATTGGATGTCACAATGGTACTCTTTGTCCACAAAATTTAGTATAAAAACGCTATTTGTTTGTAAAATAATAATTCTATGAAAAACAGTAAAGGATGTAAAATTTATAAAAAAGTATTTTATACAAATATTGTTAGATAAAATTTTGTAAAAAATTAATATTTCATTGGTCAGAATTTAAAATATAAAATAATTTGTGAAAATCAAAAATAAATAAGTTTGGGGCTCTTGTGGCACGGCTTAACTTTTTCTGATTATCTTGAAACTTCTAATATTACATTTTTATATCTAATTAAACCAATCTAGGGGGTTTCCCTTGAGAAATTTAAATATTTTTTCAAAACTGCCATATAAGGACCACCCTAATATATATATTCCATGTTAAATACATTTTAATCGTAATTTGTCCACAATCACGCGCAATAGGTAATATCAATAACATAAAACATAGGTAATACAATAACGTTCGCAATGATCAACACAACGTTTCCAATTGTCAACAGTAACGGATTCTATGGCTATATTTGCCAAGTTTTCAACATCTGTGATTTTAAAACTGTTATTTTTATTTGCAATTTCCCCTTTAACCTGGGCCCATATCAACTCGATCGGATTATATTGACAATGATATGGGGATAGCCGTATGACTTCATGCCCCATTTCTAGAGCAATTTCATCAAGTTCATATCTTTTGTCTTTCGGTTTTAAAAGTTTTACCTGTTCTCGCAGCTCACTGAGTGTTTCAAATGAAGCGAATTCCACACCATTTTCTGCAAGCCACTTTTGATAAGTAGCTTTATTGTCATTTGATTTGGGATAATTTTGAACGAGAACAGAATGGTAAGGGCAGTTGTCCATTACAATGACACAAGGTTCTTCCAAGTTTTGCATCATTTCGATAAACTATTTTTTAAAAATTGTAGAGTTCATTTGAGTATGATAATCAATATTTGCCCCTGATTTACATCAGAATATTAATATTGCTCCTTTTACAAACCCAAATGCACTTGACCCAGTAAGACAAATCATAATTCTACTGCCCTTTCCAGTTGGTACTTTTAATCCTTCTGTATTCTCTGGATTTTGTCAAATTGTTCCACGTGAATGATTTTGGTTCACCCACGTTTCGTCTAGATATATGACCGAAGGAGTATCATTATTTAACGTTAAGTCGTGCATTTTCCTTAAAAACCTGACACGCATGGCAACTATATCGTTTCTTTTCATAAGAAAACGACGGCCGTCATTATATTTTTTGTACTTAAAATGTAATGATTTAAGAATGCGCCACATGGAAACCTTAGATCCCTTATAACTGTTAATTTTTGATGATATGCAGTTAAAACTTTTTGTGATGTGGGAAACTGACCTTTATCGTAGAATTCGTGCACAATATCTGCGTCAAAATCATCAATATCAGTTGCATATTTCATTCCTTTGTATGATTTTCGAGGAGATGTAAATGACGGACCATCCACGGGTTCTGCAGTAGTCGATTTGGCCTCTTCAGAAGTTATCCGTTTCACTGTACCGATACTAATATCACATGCTTCTGCAGTCATTTCCTGACTTTTTCGAAAAAATGTAGCTACAACGGGGTTATTTTTGTCATTTACTGATATTTTAAAAAAATTGTACATATTAAAAATTGTTTTTTTAGTCTGAGAATGTACGTCAGGTCGAATGGACATTTTGTTCAAAATTTTTTTCGTGCTTTTTCTCAAACACAATAAAAACTCACTGATAAGTCGTATTAAAGTCGTAAAGTTATAATGTTGTCAACAAAAACAATCGTCTAGATAACTCCAATGATGTAAACATACCAACAAAATAATGTGGTTGTTATCATTATCAACAGTAATACGTTCACCAATTACCATGCAACTTTGTGTTTATCAAGGAATATCTATAGCAGGGATTCCCAACCGCTGTGCCGCGGCACACTTGTGTACCGCAAAATTATTCAGGTGTGCCGTATATTTTTTGTAATTTTATAATTTTTTAAGCATAACTAAATATGATAATCAAAATTATAATTTATATTTATGATAGCATTGACTTCAAAATTCCCTTGAAAATAAAAAATGATAAAATATCCTGATAAAACAGCTATAATATTATATGCCAGGGATGGCAAATTGGATTTTTTCTACGTGCCAATTTATGACATAATTCAAAAAAAAAATTTCAGCCGTGCCATAACTATTTTTATTAAAACAGCAAAATACAAATACAAAATATAAATGAAAAATTATTGATTTTAATGTAAAAAATTATGTAAAACTGGAAATAATGTGAAAAAAATATTAAATTATTATTGTTTGTTAGAAATCTTTTGCTTCATTTTGGTTGAAAGGTTTTTTTATATCTGGTTGATATGATGTTGATTGCAAGGCAATACATGCTGCCGAATCTTCCTCCGTTAATCTGTTCCTAGCCTTTGAATGTGTATGATTTAATACCGAAAAGAGACTTTCGCAAGCATATGTTGAAGAAAAAATTGTTAACAATGAAATTGCTAATTTTTTGACAGAATAAAAATTTTCTGGAATATTATTCCATACTTCTAATATTATGTTGTCAACACCGCAATCTGTTTCTTCGTTATGTATTCGATGACGTTCCAATTCTTCGATACGCTCTCGCATATTCACAAATTTATTTGTCCAAACTGGATTAGTTTGCAAATCGATTAACTGCATTTCTAAATTTTCTAATCCCATCCAATTGAGATAGTAATCATTAAAATCTTGCACATCGAATAAATCGGGATAATTAATATTTTTTATTAATTTTTCAATTTTTTTAAAATCATGAAACCTTTGTGAAAACTGTATTTTAATCAAATCAACAATATTTGAAAATTCATTGGTAAAATCCCAATTGGTTTGTTCAAAAATGTCCACTTCACCTAACTTCACCTAACATTTTCTTCACTTTTGGGAAGTATAGAAATTTTCCAGATTTGACATCGTTAATAAACATATCTATTTTAATTTCAAAACCTTTTATAAATCCAAACATGACTTCAATTGTTTTCTCGCGTCCTTGTAACTTTTTATTCAAAGTGTTCAAATGTAATGTTAGATCTGTGAAAAACATCAATTTTGCTAGCCACTCTGTATTATAAAGTTCTTTAAATTCAGTCTTATTATCATGTAAAAATAGGCGAATTTCGTCCAAACAATTTACAAATCGTTCTAATGATATAGCCCGGCTTAGCCTTAACATCATTTAAAATTTTTTTAAATTGTCTTTTATGCATATCACGAGCAACTATAAAATTAATAATTTTATTAACTTGTTCTGACAATTCTTTTAAATCACTTGTGTCGACTTTGGAACACAACATTTGCTGGTGTATGATGCAGTGAAATCCAATTATTGGATGTCCAACATGCTTTTCAAATAACTTAACAAAACCTATTGATGCTCCAGTCATATTGGGTGCTCCAATATCCGTCGTAACAGAAGTAATTTTTTTTAAATTTATGTTGAGTTTTTTTTAATTCATTGACAACAATATCACAAACATCTGTACCTCTTGTTCTTTCTGGTATATTAGCTAATTTTAAAAGTTCCTCACGCATTTCATTCCCGTTTGAAAAACGTGCGAAAATTTCTAATCTAGCAGATGACTTTATATCTGTTGTTTCGTCCAAACAAATCGAGAAAAAATCACAATTATTAATATCAGACTGAAGTTGATCAGAAATATTGACGGTCATTTTTAAAATTCTTTCTACAGTATTTCTACTTAGTTGTAATTCTTGAATTCTCTGAAGTATTTTATCTTTATTATTAAAATCTTGGAATAAACTAGGAGCAGCTTTTAACATGACCGTTTTTAAAAACTCGCCCTCACAAAATGGTTTTGAGTGTTTAGCAATTAAATGAGAAATTTCAAAACTTGCTTCAGTGACATTATTAGAAGTTTTTACGAATTTACATAACAAATTAGATTGGTTTTCAATTACCTTCAAGCGTTGAGAAATAACTTCTTTCCTTTCAGTAATATTTAACTCTGAAATTTCTTTGTGGTTTGTTTCAAAATGTCGTTTGATAGAAGATGTCCGAGATACAATAACTTCAGAGCACAGACCGCATCGACTTTTATCTCCATATTTAATAAAGCCATATTCAATTATCCATGATGGTAAAAAATTTCGAACATCCTGTAATTTTTGTTTTTTTGCAAGTGGCATTTTAAATAAAATTAATATAATAACGTAAAATTCGCACACGGTGTATTCTCTCAATACACGAACGAGAACTGATTACCTATATACGAGTAATATTAACTTGTCCACACACTTCTAGTAATCTAGTGTCCCACTATATTACAACATATAAATTATATTTTATAATAATAAAGATAAGATATCTGAGCCGTCATAGTTCTGTACTAAATACTATTAAATAAAAAAAAGATAAGATAACAATACGTCGTTGTGAAATATATATTATTAATATAAATATATATGAACAAATTAGTTTTTCGAATGCCATCGAAAATCTCACGATTGCCAAGCTTGGCACGCGTGCCACTTATTTGCCATCCATGTTATATGGGATCCTATACTACCCGATACGGGTATTACAAGCAGTTGCGTTGACTTTTACCACATACTAAAATTACTACATGAAAACATAGCCGGTGCTCATTATAATGAAAATTGAGCGCGTGTAATTATTACGCATTATACTGTATAGGTATTTTGATCAAGAAATATTGTAAGTTAAATTTGAAAATGGATAGATTTTTAAAAAAGCATAAATTAACAGATGACAGAGATGTTAGTGCAAATGACAACAATTTAAATATTGAAATTAATATTAAACAATCAGCTTTAATAAGTGATAAAAGTTTAAATTTAAAAATTAAACGTAAATATGTTAATAATTATTTATGTTTTGAATTTAGTTTTGAATTTACGTGGAATGGTGACATTGATTATCCTTTAACAGTTTGTATCGTTTCAACTGTTTCACCCGTAATAAAGGAATTATGTAAAAAAACACCAGTCTCGAATGTCAAATTAAATTTGTATGATATATATTTATTTTTATTTATTTAAGTGTGCTGTGGAAATTTTTAAAATGATCAAGTGTGCCGTTAAGTAAAAAAGGTTGGGAATCCCTGATTTAGAGTATCTCATAGTGGTAATAAAATGTTTGGCAGTGGTAGGTAAGATTATTAAAAAAAAATTCATATCAACAAGGCCAGATGTTCAATGTTTGATTGCTGCGTCATTTTTAAATTACCGCGCTTCTTTAGTCACACGTTTAGGAAACCCTCACGGAAATTTGTCACCGGAAGCCCTACTGCGGAGTCGCTAGTTTCGTGAAATGTACTGTACAAGAGGCGACGATAACACCGCAACATCATTGCCGCCTAACAAACTGACGCGGACCCGTGCGGCAGCCGTTATCGAAACGGCAGTCGCCGACCGTGTCCTTACTTTCTCATCAACCGCCACTCCGCGGCACGCAACGCCGCATCGACCCCCGTCCACCCATCCATCACCGGACAGGGGACGCGAGCGGTCGCTACGACGTCCGACAGGTACCACCATATAACCGGGCTGTTTTTCCGAGATCGCGTACGGAGACACATCTCGTCGTAAATCTCAACTTATTTTATACAACAAGTGTTACATTTGTGCACCCTCATTCTTTTTTTTATTATTAATATTGTTAATTTCAGTGTGTTGACAAATAATATATAATAACAACTATCTGAAGTAACCCGCGTCGTTTGTTTATTATTATTTTTATTATAATATTGTTCATCACTGTGCACAACACCCGCGACCCGTGCGCACACCACCACCACCTGTGTGCCGTGTCAAAATTGGCTCCCCGAAAAGGAATCACCGGTCAAGTACGTGACAGGTAAGATACTTTTCCGCTAGCTTTACAACCACGCTTTGCTTTCGTTAAGTTTTACTTAGTATTAGGTAATTCGGAAACACGAGGTAAAAGAAAGGTTAGGGAAAAACTCCGGGCGCTGAGCTTATCGCGATACGCTATATAGAACACACCAGAGTCCCCGGGCTACGGAATTAGATATTGCACACACGCGCGAGATATCGACCGAAATACACACGGTATATTGGCAACGCGATAAAAATTATTACAATTTGATCAGCTCCGAGACACCGCGATCGGTCGACCCGCGTCCCACCGCTGCATATCAAACGTATCTTAATTAAACACACGCCACTATAGCCGCGCCGCCGTTGTCTAATAACCGGTCCGCGACACGAAAGCCGCCGCTACCCTCACCGGACAAGCCGCCGCCGCAGTCGCCGGAAACGAAACAGATACGCGCGCCGCCGCCGTTGACGACGTAGATAAACACGCGCAGCTGGAACGGTCGTTTACGTAAACACTGCCGCCGCGTCGTGATATATCCGTGCAACGTGATAGCGTGTTGTTTTTCAACAAAACAAATCCGTTTGTTTTCGTAATTTTTTTTTCTTGTAAATCTCGTACGTGTACTACACTACCACAGTACCACCACGTAGGTCAGTGGCGTGGTGAGGGGGTTTTCCAGGGGCCTCGGCCCCACCGAGTTATTGGGTGGGTGGGTGGGTAGGTACTGGGTGTCATTAAAAATTG